AATGACCATCTTCATGGGTGTGGAGCGGATCTCATGGTTTTGACTTGCATTTGCCTAGTGACCTATGGGTGCTGAGCATCTTTTATGGGCCTGTTGGCCATTTATAGGTCTTCTTTGGAGAAATGTCTGTTTCAGTTCTTTGCCCATTTTTGAATTGGGTTGTTTGTTCATTTTGTCTTTGTTGAGTTACAGCGTTCTTTATGTATTCTGAAGATTGGTCCTTTAGCAGATGTATGGTTTGCAAAGTTTTTCTTCCATCAGAGACTGTGTTCTTAACCATTCCACACTATATCTACTTTTCTTCTTTTAGCATCAAATTTACTGAAATACTTTTTTTTTTCTTTTAAATTTTGAGATGGAGTCTCTCTCTTGTTGCCCAGGCTGGAGTGCAGTGGCGTGATCTCGGCTCACTGCAGCCTCCACCTCCTGGGTTCAAGTGATTCTTCTGCCTCAGCCTCCTGAATAACTGTGATTACAGGTGGCCGCCACCATGCCTGGCTAATGTTGGTATTTTTAGCAGATAACTAGGTTTCACCATCTTGGCCAGGCTGGTTTCGACCTGCTGACCTCAGGTGATCCACCCGCCTCAGCTTCCCAAAGTGTTGGGATTACAGACGTGAGCCACCGCGCCTGGCTGAGATATAATTTATATACAGTAAACATTTTTTAGGTGTACATTTCTTTAAGTTTTGACAAATATACGCAGTCATGTAACAAATGCCACAATCAATATATAGAGTATTTCTGTCACACCAAGGAAGTTCCCTTGGGCCCCTTTGTGATCACTCCCCTCTCATTTCTCAGGCCTCTGGAAACCATGGATTGGATTTTTCTATCTGCATTTTTTCCTTTTACACATGTCATTTAAGCGGCAACATGTCGTTTGTAGCTTTTTGTATCTTCCTTTAGCAAATTTATTTGTGATCCATCTGTGTAGCTACATGTATTAGTGGTTTTCTTCCTTTATTCCGTTTTTGTGGCTCTCCCACATATTGTTTATCCATTTACTAGTTGACAGACAATTGGGTTGTTTCTGGTTTTTGGCAGTTATGAATAAAGTTGCTATAAGCACTCGATCTTTGTGGAGACATATTTTCTCTGTGTAAATATTTAGGACTGTGATTATTAGCTCATATGTTAAGTTTAATTCTTTAAGAAACTGCTGAGGCCGGGTATGGTACCTCATGCTTGTGATCTTAGTACTTTGGGAGGCTGAGGTGGGCGGATCACCTGAGGTCGGGATTTCGAGACCAGTCTGACCAACAGGAAGAAACCCCATCTCTACTAAAAATACAAAATTAGCTGGGTGTGGTGGTGCATGCCTGTAATCCCAGCTACTCAGGAGGCTGAGGCAGGAGAATCCCATGAACCTGGGAGGTGGAGGTTGCAGTGAGCAGAGATTGCGCCATTGCACTCCAGCCTGGCCAACAAGAGTGAAACTTCATCTCAAAAAAAAAAGAAAAAAAAGAAAAGAAAAAAGAAGCTGCTGAACTGTTTTTAAAAGATTTTTAAAAAATAATCAAACAACACATGTTCTCACTCATAGGCGGGTGTTGAACAATGAGAACACATGGACACAGGGAGGGGAGCACTACACACTGGTGTCAGCTGGGGGGAAATAGGGGTGGGACGGTGGGGGGGGGGGAGCTGGGGAGAGATAGCAAGGGGAGAAATGCCAGATGTAGGTGATGGGGAGGAAGGCAGCAAATCACACTGCCACG